GTAAGGCGGGACGACGTAAGGCCGACGACGTAAGGCGGGACGACGTAAGGCCGACGACGTAAGGCGGGACGACGTAAGGCCGACGACGTAAGGTGGACGATGGCATTCTTTAGCGGCATAGAGGTCCGAAAGTGAGGACGAAGAATCGAATGCGCACGGACACGTGAGTCGCCGACCCAAGCATGTCTTACCTATGCGTATTGATTGACAAAGAGTTACGAAAAAAAAATTGTTTCAGACATTCTCTGATGACCACAGGACGCCGTGGCAGTCGTTCTGGCAGGTATCGAGACGGAGGTCTTTGGCTTTGTCGTGTCCGGATTTGATGTTAGCCTTGGGAACAGATTGCATTTTAAATACGTCCTCCATGCGTGTATCAAATCCCCACGATTCAACAGTTTGGGACTTGCCTTCGAACTCGGTCTGGCATTTACTGTGCGCAACGCGGCACACACAGTTGGGGACATTGTCGCAGGGTCGTAGCATAGAACCACAAGTTGATGAACAACTTCGGTCGGCAGGGAAGAATGTGGGCAGCACATGCCCCAATTCCCATTCTGGAATCTTACCCTCGCGATAGCCAACTCGTTCCGGAACATAACCGGGCAATGTGCCGAACAAATGTTTGTGTGCTTCATCCCACACGGAACGCCGTTGGTCGGATTTTGAATCGCAGCGCACAACACAGTCTCCAACATTTGATGAATAATGTCTAACCGCATCCTCCACTGCAAAAGCATTCATCGTGAGTGGACCAAAACGATGACAAGAGAGGAAGGGCACATCCTTCCAGGGCGAGTTGAATTTCAGCTGCCAGTCATCCCAGGAAAGTAACTCGTTCTTTTCTTTACAGGTCATTACTCCGCTTCCACCGTCACATGGATGTCTACCGAGCCCCTGCAACTTTTGCCACCCACCTTTAGGATAATTTTTGCACTGCTTCAAAGGCAATTGAAGCTTACTTAACTCGCGTCTGCTCAATCTCAGTTTCAGAGCATCTTCCGGACTCGTGGGCTCCGTTTCCACAGTTCGCAAGTTACTAACGGAAGCAAGCTCCGGTCTCATCTTACGGCATTCGTACCGGCAATTGTAAGTCGCATACGATTTGTGTTTCGTGTTGAACGGAGACATCCGTCTCATCACGTCTCGCACTGTCGTATTGTAACCAATTAATTTGATCCATTGCTCATGCAATTCTCCCTCGGCCCTAACGCGACACTTGACCTCTGCAAAATCACAGGAACAACTCTCGGCCGGGCCGTCTCGCAAACAGCCAATACAATTCCCTGAACAGCTCTTTATGACGGCATAGCGCGCTAGCAACATGTCATCGAAATCCCTCATTTCGGGAACTTTGGGGGTTTGCGTAGAGTCCATGAACCCCCTATCAGGGCAGCGAGGAATAAAGGGAAGACGCCTTGAGGTCTCACCCCACAAACGGCGCACCACTTCTTCCTCTTTATCGCACCGGGCAACGCACTTTATTCCCACGCTTTTCAGATAATGATCAATCGCTTCCCTCACTGCAAAGATGTCGTATGCCCAAACACCACCAAATCTATGGCAGGTGTTCAATGATCCTGTACACATTAATTGTCCACTGCCCTCGCAGGGATATTTTCCGACCGCTGCCCCTATCGAGGGCGGAGGGAGATTCCTACGAGTTTCTGAATTGAATAAGAGTCGGCATTCGGACCAAGGCATTTCGAGCCCGTTCAACTCATGTCGCGTCATCGGCATCTTTAATTTACTTTGGTATACTGTGGTAGTCTTGTTTTCTGCGGTGGTCTTGTTTTCTGCGGTGGTCTTGTTTTCTGCGGTAGTCGCTGCTGTGGGGCCTGCACTCGTCTTCTTCTGTAACCCCTTCGCCTTCAACTCAAAAACTGACTTCGAGACAAGGTCTGGGCTGCTGGACGGAATCGTGGTGGCATCCTCACCCACGGTATTTTCATGCAATGCTTTCTTCGTCTTCTCCACAGTGACTGTCGCGACAGACCCAGTCAGACCAGATGCGCCATAATGTGCAGTGGAACTGGTCTCGAACATTCGCTTCATCGTGTCTGTGGCGACCGTTGAGACCAGGTCCAAGAGTCTTGAACTGCTCATGGTGGTACTCTCGCCCACGGTAGTATTACGCAATGCTTTCTTTGTTGTGTTCACAGTGACTGGTGCGACTGAGTCAGTCGAGCTGTAACCTAGGCCGGGTGCGTCATAATGTGCACTTGAAC